ATAATAATTTACAATATTTGGAAACTCTAATATTTTCAAATATGTGTACGAGGACAATAAATGAAGATAATCGATTTTTAGTTTAAAATATAAATCTTTAAAAACAAAAATAATATCCTTGTTTATTTTGTTTTTGTTTTGTTGCCATTTGAAAGAGAGAGAATTTTTCTTTATTTCTGTTTTTCTTGTTGTTCCTATTTTTGTTTTCATTCTATATTGTTTGCCTAAATAAATAAATATACTAGTACATATAGATATTGTATTTGGTTGTAAATAAATGTTCATATTGTTAAATTATATAATAAATATATATATATATATATATATATATATATATATATATATAATATTATGTTATATATGTATTCATTATTTAAAATCGATTATTTTACTCTTGATTGTATATTGCATGATTTTAAAAATCTAAAAAAAAAAAAATAAACAAGATTAAATGCATGAATAAAAAACGAATGAATGACTATTGAGAGAGAAAACGACACATGAAAACAAAAATCCTTTTTGAATATATTTTTGTTTTTTGTACCTAGGTGCCTGTACCTTTTGTATACAAAATAATAGAAAAGGAAAACTATTTGAGAACAATGAGAAACCGGTTGAATATATACAGAAAACTTTTCGATTTTGAGGAAATAGCAAAAATGAAAAATAAACAAGTGAACAATATCATAGGTAAAAATAAAATGAAAAAGAAAAACAAATTTCGAGAATAATCAAAAATATTTTTCGAGTGTATAAGGCAAAAATTCTCCCGGAAATAAAATAATTCGAAATTTAGACATCCGTTCAGTACTAACGTGTACATGAGATAAAGCATGCTTATATCATAGGAAAATTTCAATACTATATTATTCAAAAAGGTAAAATCAGAGGGGGGGAAAAATTGTCTCTTATCTATAAATTTTGTTTCATGGAATTTGGCTATTTCGGGTTTATATGCAGAAAATTAATTTGTTGATAGAATAAAAACATAATTTTTAATTCCTATGAAAAAGTAAAAAAAAAATTATTAATGAAATTTAAATTCTCAGAATTTTCCATGTTATTTAATTTAATATATTTAAATAAATACAAAAAAAAAAATGTATAAATTTCATAATTATTTAACAACAAATTATTGAAAATACAAAAATATTCAATTTCATTTCATTTTTAAATTTATTACTCAAAAATATTTTTTTCTTTTATCATAATTATTGAATTTAAATCAATTGAAAAATATAGTAAAAAAATTAATTAAAGAATATTGAATATTATTAAAGGTTCTAATCAAATTTCATGTTATGTGTAGCTGTGTACATATTTCAATTATTTTATAATGATTGCATATCTCAAGGCGAAAAAAAAATTTTTAATAAATACTGTTTTTATAAAATTTGATTACATATTAAATATTTCTATGAAAAATTTAAAAAAGAGAAATGAAATTTAAAATTAGGAAAATTATTTTTGATTTTTGATATACGCACTGATAATTCCATGTGTTCTTTATTGCTGGAAGGCATACTTTGCTTCCTACATAAAACATATTATATAAATTTTATTTGAACATTTTAATATTTTGAAAGGAATTTTAATTTTTTTTAAACTAAACTCAATACAAATTGTCAGATTAATTCTTTCAAGAAATTCAGGGGATAGAGAAATATTTCTAAAAATTCTTTGAAGAAAAACTAATTTTATTTTAGTGCGCACGTTTTTCTGTTATAAATATCGTGGAATAGGTTTATTAGAGGGTAGTTCTTTAATGAGAAGAGGAGTAAAATTTGTAAAAGTTTCAACGATTTGACAAATTTTTAGCACTTTTACATTTCTATAAAAATAATCAACTTGAAATTTAAAAAAAATTGGCTTGACAAATAATTTTCAATTAGAGTAGAGAAGTGAAAAAATTAACTGAAAAATATTAAGTTATTTTTTTAATAATTGTTTATCGAATTTAATCTCCGAAAAAAAACGCTAGAAAAAAATTAGATTTATTGTAAAATATTTTTCATTTATTATGGTTAAATATTTTCATTAAATCCACCCATAAGAACAAAATGTGAGTAATTACTGTTATTGTCGTACTGTACGTATTTGAACATGGTTGGGCGTAATTAGGATTCAAAATAGCTACTAGTGAAAGACAATTAATAATAATTCGCAATGTTAATTTATATTAAAATATAAAAAATTAATTTTTGAAAATAGCCACCAAATAAAAGTTTATAAACATTTACAAGACCCTTTTAGGACAGTTTTTTGGTGAATATGAAACTTTACAAATTGGATTTTTAAAATAAATTGTCAAACAATATTTGTAGAGGTTTCCGAAACCTTTTTAATGGCATGCCAAGTTATCATATTATTTTAATTGTTTTAAGGCTCTTACCAATAGATTTGTATGAGAGAATGCCGTTCGTGTGGGCTACTTTTCGCTCAAAAGTCTAAAAAAGAATGTTAACTTTATTATATTCATTTCTTCCTGGAATATATACAATCATATAAAATCCATAATATCTGACCTATCGTTCATATTTGAAACTTTAGTTTTGCTACCAATTCGGTAAATTTTTCCTTTTAAGACTGTTGATATTTAAAACTAAATCTTTTATTTTGCATTAAATCACTGAACTCGGGTATCATTAAATGTTTAAGGCTAAACATTTCTCATTATTAGGATTTTATAACCAATGATCATTTCGAGATAGAAGAATTCGTTCTGAATCCGATTCACAATATTTAATATACATAATAATATACACTTTACCCTTTAGTACAAAATTGCACTCTTTGTGAGCACAGAACAATTATTATCCCTTTGTCTTTAAAAAAACACTTCAAAAAATTATTTTTAATTAATTTAGTAAAAACATACACATATAAACATAAATATTTCAGTATAGTGTATAATACACTGAAAAAAAAATTTATTTAAATTTTTTAAATCAAATTTAATTATAAATTTCACAAAAAAAAAAAAAAATTACATTTGTATTTTTCCTACAATTTTGTCATTCAAAACTACCATAATAAAAAATATTTAATTATTAAAAAAAAATTATATATTGGGTGCTTTCACACTGCCATTCAATAAAAAGTTAAAAACTCTTTTACCGTTCTTTATTAAATTAAGTCAAAAAAAAAAAATTAAATGCCAAATTTATTGTGCCAGGGTTTTAAACTTTAAACAATTTTCAAATATAGGGGATAAGGGTGTTAATAATTTGTTTTTGTTAAAAAAAAATCTTATTTTAATATTTTGAGGTGGGGTTTTGGGGGGCAAACTGTTTTTTTTTCCATATTACCAATAATTATTTATTTGCTTTTTATTTTCACTTATAAATTTAAAAATCATGCTTTTTTCAATTTCTTTGATTATACAAGAAAAGAAAATAAAAAAAAATTTTTTTAACTTAAAAGATAAATTTAAAAGGGGGGGGGGTTGATGGAAGGAAGAACAGATACAGAAAGGGGGTTACAATAATAAATGGGTAGTTAAATACAGGGGATTCTACAGTAATAGTGGGAGTTTACAGGTTTCTGGGTTATAAAATATAATTGTATTTATTTATTATATAGAGAGAAGAAAATTTGAAATTTCATAATTTTTAGTTTTTAGACAAATGTACTTTTTATATAATATTTAAAATGTAAGAATTGTAGTACACGCTGGCAACATTTTTCATTTATGAATATTTTAATAAAAAATTAAAAATTTTTTTTTTTAAATTATGTAGTTAGTGGGCAAGTTTATTTTTTTGCTTTTATTGCATTTTATATTAAATTACAATTCTTTTGAACAATGTGCTTATTGTGAATTGATTTGAAGATTAGAAAATTTCGAATAAAATTAAATGCGTCAAATTTTGCCATAATTTAGTAAAAAAATATGTTACTTGAATTTTAGTACAATATGTTAAGTACTTGCTTAGCACAAATTGGATTTGAATCTTTTATAAATAAAAATTATTTCATTATTGGAAACTTGTTTTGTTAAGGTTAGTTTGTAGCAAATTCTGCTATCATTGTACTTCAATAGTAATAATTCGAATTTGGCAATATTTTATTGAGAAATTGAGTAAGTTATTTTTTAAGCAATAATTTGACAAATCTTAATTTTGTTCAGCTTGCAAATTCAATTTAATTTGAATCTGATATTATCCAGCCCGACAAAAGAAAATTTTATTATTTTAAATCATTAAAATTTTATTGAAGTTTTTAAAGTTATCAAAATATTTTAATTTTGACTTTTTGCTTATGGCAGTACAACAGAAATTAACTATATGTGCATATCAAATTAGATATTAATTAAATGGACCTTTACTTTTTCTATTGCTAGATAAAAGGACGTGTAGTATATTGAATTTATTCCTGTATTGAAAACATCGCCATGTGTTCAGCCTAATAATAAGCAATTTATATACGATTTCTTATCTTGTAATGTTGAGAAACACAATTAATATGTGCAAAATTTTAAGGTATTTTAAATTTATAATATTAAAAATTAAAAATTCAAAATTTTCAAATTTTTAAAAAAGTTTCTAAAAAGTTTTTACCATTTATATATATATTTACCAAATTAATTTTATTAAAATATCATAAATTTGAAACTGAAAATTGCCAGCAATATTGTAAAATTATGTTATGAGTTTTTTTTTTTTGAAAATTTTTTTCATATTTTTTTTTTAATGAATCTATGAAAAAATTGTTATTCATTATAATTTAGTATGAGAAAAAAAATATTTGTGTAATTAAATATATATATATATATATATATATATATATGAATGTATATATATAGTATATAATATGTATGTATGTCTGTTATACATGTTCAAGTTAGTTAATGTATTTTAAATTGAAATTTAATTAAAATATTTTTTTTTTTGTTTTTTTGTTAAAAAATCAAAGTTTTTGTATAATTAAATTTTTCTTTTTTCGATTTTTTGTATTTTTATTATAAGAGATTTTTGATACAAACAGAAAGCATTACATACTGAGCGGTACACAAAGTCGCATACAGCAACTAGCAACTGTTATTTGTAACATGCATTGTTCCTCACCGATGGGTCTCCATGAACCCCTTCGGTATGGTTTAGGGATTTGTCCGGTTTCAGCATGATTTGATAAATTCATAACTAAATCTTCTAACATTTGTGATCTTGTTCTTTCTTGCATTCTAGCAAATTTTGGTGCTGAATATGATGCACGTTCACCATTAACAATTTTTGTTAATAACCATTCACTATATTAATAATATAAAATATTATTTAAAAAAAAAATTTAAATTAATATTCACTAATTTCATTGCATATTACTGTAAATAATTCTGTTTTTCAGTATAGAATTTCGAATTTTGGAATTGATTTTATATAGAAAATCACAAGATTATTAAATAAAAACCTGACTAACAGAATATGAGTGATTATCTGTATAAATATGTTAATGTATAAGATACTCGATTGTTACAATAATGTACTAACTCAATATCAGCCTTTTTGCAAATAATTATTAATATTAAAAATGTGGAAATTTTCTCTAAAACTGAAAATAAAAATATTTTCTTTCAATTTGGAAAATTTATTTTTTTGAGTTATAACATTTTTGAAGCAATCGAGCAATATTTTATGCAATTAGTTAATTTAAAATTTAATAATTTTTATTTGATTTTTCTTATTAATTTTAATTAATTTTAATTAAATAATAAATGAAAATATTTACCGAAACATGGGACCTTTTTCAAAAACAGATTGTTCCCATAAATAAGGCTTATATGCACCAACTTCATCTCTTGTTACTACAGATACCTCATAACGTGTTGGTTTACGTTTTATTCTTGCTGATACACGAACCTATTTTTTTTAAATTATTTAAAATTATTTAATTAAAATTCAATTTTAATTTAAATAATATTAAATATATTAAATGTATAACAAAAAATTATTGAAATATGAATTTTTAATTTCAATATACTTACCAATATAAATGTATGTAGAAAATGACTTTTAATACAGGCAGGACTAAATGGTGTATTGTCAGCTTCCAAAAATACAACACATACAATATCATTACCGATATGTCGTTTACGTTGTAATTTTTGTGGATCATGTTTTTCATATGGCAATAATGTTGATACATGAAACATTATTTCAATATTTCGCCAATTTGTATATACCGAATAGAGTCCTAAAATATTATTCATAGAAAAAATAATAATATATAGAACATATTATTATAGAAAGAGTTATTATAAAATTTTTTTAACAAATTTTCTAATTAGCATTAGGACAATGTCGGTTTATATAATGAAAATTCAAAAGGTCTATATTATAATTGCAAATTAGACCTTAATTATTTTTTCAATTTTTAGAATAATTGAATTATCGAAAAATTTTAAAGGAAAGGATTATAAAATTATTTTGAAGCCCTATAGGTCCTGTTCTATTTGAATCTTCAAATGAAATCATAATTGGTAGAAATTACCAATTTATAAAGGCATCCCGGAATAAAAAGAGATTGAGTTTGTACTGAGCTCGTTTTTTGTGAAAAATTATTTTTTGGGGTTTAATTTATGCTTTAATATTTTAGAATATTAATAACTAATTATTTATTTTCCTTCCCGTTTTTCTTGTTTTTCCTAAAAAAAAAATCTAATTCACATAATTTTTAGCTTTTCAATTTTTTTACCATATTTAAATAATTAAATTCAAATTATTATGCTTTTTATGTTAATGCTATTAAAATAATAATAAAATTTTAAACAAAATGTAAACATTTTCGCTAATTTTCAATGTGGTTAATTATTACACATACATACATAATATGTACAAATACAGCTGTATATACACAAGTATTAACATTTTTTGCTATCTTTAATTATTATGAGCTTAAATTTTTATTTTTATACACGGTGGCAGATATAATGTTGACCACATTATTTAAATAAAGCTTATTGTGTGGGAAAAACAATTAATTGCTCGCTTTACGACATACAAAGAGAAAAATAGCTATTCAAAACTAAAATTAATTTTTAATTTCAATAATTGTTATATAAGGTATAAATTGTAATATATTTTATAATATTGATATACTACAAAAAAATTATCATATATAAATTCTAATAAATTGCGAAAGCCAATAATAATTATGTTATATAATGTAGAATTTTGTGGTCAATATCATTAAAATATTAATAAAATAGGTGTAAATTTTTGACTCAGGAAGTAAGAAATTAATACGATGTATAATACATCATAAAATTCTTAGGTACAGTAATGAGAAACGAATTTATATAGGAGTCAGAGTTTTTTATATAACAGTATGAATTGAATTACAAAGGGATAATAGTGAGAATAATATTATAATTCAGCGTTTGTGGTAAAAATCTATTATAAAATAATCGTGTAATAAATGTTTATGAAACTATGTATGGCAAGTACGGCTACAAATTTAATGTATTGTAGAACAGTATTTCTAAATATTTATTAAACTTCACGGAGTTCAAATAATGTGTTTGGAGAACATTGAAATTCTAACACTTTTAATTTCGCTGTGTTTGCCACAGGAGAATGGTCTTATTTATAAAAAATTTAAAAAAAAATTAAATAAAAAAAAAATTAATAAAATTTTTTAAAACTTACCTGTTAAATCATGAACGGTATCAAGGCCACCTTTGTATTTATCGAAACCGCGAAGTCTAACCTTATCGCCTAATAGCTGTAGGAATTCATCGAATAACAATGAATTTTCATTATTGTCTAATATCTGTTCTTCAGTAAATTGATTTTCTTTAACATAGATAACACCAACTTTTAATTCCGATTTTATAAAAACCTTACAAATATGAAAAGATTATTTTTTTTCTTTTAATTTTTATTGAAATTTTTTTAAATATTTTAATAAATTACTTGATCTAATTTTAATAGTTCTTCGGGTGTATCTGGTAATTGTCCTAAAGTTAATGGCGGATTAATATTTACTTCTTTACCTAAAGATCTAACTACTTCTTCTCGGTTATACCTATATAAATAAATTATTAAAAATTAAATAATTTAAAATTTGACAAGTATTGCATATTATTATTACCTATCAGCAAAAACGCATGATGCTGGTATCAGTCCATGTACTGTATATGAAATAGCCCTAACTAATATTCTAAATTGATCTCGTCCATTTAATGTTTCTTGTTTAATTGATAATATAACTGGACCAAGATCTTCATCTGTTGTAAAATAATTCCAATGTTCAGTACCATAAAAATATTTTTCATAGGTTTCCTGTTCAACCGATGTTAGCTCAAATGCTCCCTGTTGTTCCCATTGTTCTTCAATTGTAGTTTTTTTCCTAGGACTTAAATATTCGTATAAAATTGTTCAACAAAAAAAAAAAAAAAATTTATAAATTTATAAATGAAATGAAAATGAAAAAATAGATAGAAGATAGTAAAGATTTAAAGAAAATATTAATAAAAACAATAAGTAGTTAATAAATAAATTAACGATAGTTAAAAGAAGTCAAGAAAATAAAGCCTATACTATCTCATGTTTGTCAGGTTTGTACTTACAAAATTATAAAAAATTGCATAAACTAAGGGATATTATTAAAGAAAACTATAGTTAGTTACAGTAAGGTACTTGGAACATAGCTGTTTTCTTAAATTTTATTATAATGTAATCGAAATGTTCAATGGTTGTTTGAAGGTTACAATTTTTAAACGGTTGTAAAGTGATAACAGCTCAACGTAAAAAGTTGAGGGTTCGATCATAAAACGAAGCTATTCGGAATGCAACTTGTATCGATTTTTGCGACATAACACAACGGGACGTTACCAGTTTCTAATAAGGCAATTGAAAACTCGAGGCAGGAAATACTGAGAAATTTAAATATTTAATTAATAAGTTAATTTACAAAAATACACCAACCGACCAAGCCGTCAAATTGCTCGTATTGTATATTGAACATCAAGTAATATTCACGATCATTATTCTGGTTCTATGCTCTCTTTTCGGGAGCCAGATTTTATTTGTTTTTTTTTTATTTCAAAGTATTTTAAAATCAAATCGGATTCAATTTCTAAAAAAGAACTCTGAGAACATTTGAAATAAATAGAATTTCGAGCATGATATAAATTCGTTTAAAATTCATAGGAATGACCTAATTTAATAAGACCTAAATTTTGGCGAAATTTTCAGGGATCTCAGGTGAGATAAAACGAAACTCTGTAAAAAGCCAAATTTACATTTTTTTATGCATAAATAGAAAGAAGCTCATTAACTTCTTTAAAATTGGAAAGAAGGGTCTAAAAGGCATTTTCATAATCTTCTGTAAAAATTTCGCTAAACTAGCCAATAACATTGCGATTGGTTGTGCGCTGACCACATTAGATTTTCTTTTTTTTTTTTTTGTTGTGTATAGTGAATAGAGTAAAATAAATCAAAATTTAAAAATCAAAAAAAAAAATTTTAATTTTTTGTGTTAAGAATACTACCTTGGTGCTGCTTCAGAATCTTCATCATCTTCATATAAATCACTACAACCACGTTCCAAATATGCATCTGATGAACTAGCTGCACGTAATTCTTCATGTTCTGAATCACTTTCATCCCAAAGATTATGTGTATTTGGTAATGTAATTTTTTGACGTGAGCACTCAATCCAGTAACCAGGTGTTGGTATTAAATTATGCGGATATTCTTCACAAAATTCATCTATAAATAAAAGTAATATTGATATTTTAATGATAGCATTGTTGGTGTGTGTATATTAGTAGATAGTAAGTTTCTAGAGCATATACATGTATGTGTTATATGCACATACGTAATATTAATATAAAAATTTTATTAGTAAATGTATTTTGATGCAAGTTTGACAAGGATTAATGTTTGTAACTATATATACCAACGTCGTTCTTTTACAAGTTGCATGCAGCAAACGAGAGATGTGTCAGGTTTTATTGAATATTTTTCCTTTCTAATCTATTTAAGCGCAAATATGGCAATAAATTTTATTATTTTGTAAAATAAAACTCAATTTATGTAAGCATATATTTTAGAATTCAATGTATAAATTTTATAAATTAAAAAAATTTAATTTGTATATTAGATGAATTTCAAAATAATAAATTATTTTAATATTTCAATTTTGAAATCGATTTTTTATAAAATGATTGAATATGAACACTTTGAAGTTTTGTACTCCAAGGGAAATGTTATGTTTAAATAATATTATTAAAATGGATTTATCTTTTATGATATTATTGCCTCTATAATGAAAATGGTTGATATTGTAGAGTGAATTAGTTTTAACAAGAAAAATTTTTGAGAGATTCAAACAAAATGTGGCAAATTTACAGCAATAGGAATGTGCAATCCAATTACTTTGTGGTATTCATGAATACCCGTTACTTCATTGATACTGAATATTCGTTAGTTTTAACTAGTTACGAGGTATCCCTAAAAATTATTTTTTCGACAAAACGGATTTTTCAATTGCAGTGATTGACTGTTATTGTTCTGTTTAAACCACAATAAGAAAAAGAACAGTGATTTAAATGACGGCTCATTTCGTATTAATTCAATTATGATGACGGGACAAATCTATATGACCGATCAGAGGAATGTGGCCAATCATTTTAGTAACGAACACATTTAAGGTTCTGTAATGAAGCTTTGTGTCTTGGGAAGCAGAAGTCGGAATTTTGATAAAAAACATCAATTTGAAAAAAAAAAGAAAATTTGAAAAGTAAAGACTCTCGACTTTAGTATTCCAACTAAATTTTAATTAGTAACGATTATTTTTAATCTTCGAGGAATCAGTTACTTCGAATCTGAGATAAAGAATAGTAACTCATTTTAATTTCAATTATGTATTTGTTTCCGCGAAGTGGAATATCAATTTTTCTGGTTATATAACTTAAACTTCAATACAGAAGCCATCAATATTGAAACTTTGCACAAATAAATATTTCCCTTATTTTCGGTAAACGACTGTTATATTGTCTGTAAGTCTTTAAGGTAGCTGCCCCTTAAAAATTAGATTTTAGTTGAGTTTTCTAAAAACAAATTTGTTTTATTGTATTAAGACAATATATTTGAATTAATAATAGGATAATTTGTTCAATACATTATTTCCCCTCTTTATCAAACAGCTCTTCCCTCTTGTATATTTAACTCTATTCTTGATTAGGAACTCAATAATTAATTTATTGTTCTTATCATTATTTATAGTAAAAATATTGAAGAGAATTTTTTTATTGAAGATGGAAACGAACTTAATTTTTTTTTCTTAATTATACATATAGGATTTTTCATATAGAAACCTAGAAGTAATATTATTCTTTAAACCTAAATATCAAGATAACATTATGACAAAATATATAAATAGAGCTCATACAAAATACGATATCTTAATTACTGCTGATGTCCTTATAAACTCTCTCACTCAACTGTATTTTCTTTAAATAACTTTTATCTTTAAATTTCTTTATTAAGTTCCCAAAAATATCGTCTAATTTTTATTTACATATATATATATGTATATATGTATATAAACCAAATAATATTGAATACTATTGTAAATGTCCTTCAAAAATGTTTTTAACCTAAAACAAAAAATAAACTAAAAATATCCACCTATTTATTATCATTATAGGGAAAAAATGTCATGACTATGTCATTTAAAATACATAAAACATATATAGAATATAATAAAGAAAACAAATAAGGAAAATATAAAAATTATTTCTCAACAATGTTGTAATACATTCTCTACAAATATACTCGCAATCAACACCATTTTAATAACAATATATGTATGTATGTTTGCATATACATATAGAAAATTGAGTGACCAAATAACATTACATTGATTCATTAACGTTATATGGTAGTGAATTAATCAATATTGGTTTGAATTTATTACAGCTACCATTTTACCATTTTATTACACAATACTCTTATTCTACACAATTTCCTATTTGCTATATAGTATATACAATATTTATAATGTACATATAAATTACATATATGTACGCATATAATACAAATACAATAATGTCAATATGTACTTTTGCAATGTCAATTTCACCTTCGTATCTCATTTAAAATGTTATTTAAGTGCATATCGTAAATATATACAAAAATACCACAGATTTTAACAAAGAAGGACCTGAAAAATGATAATAATAATAAAAATAAAAATGGTGGAAATAAATGAGAAAATTTTAGTATATTCTCTTACAAGTTTTTATATACCTATAATCTGTGGTGAATATAGTAAATTAGTAGTTAATTTAACAAATTGGAAAAAAAATTTGTTTTTATAAATGACATTTTAAATAAAAAAAAAATTGTAATTTAAATGCAAAAATAAATTCATATTAAAATGCAAAATTTGTTCCTTACCTAAAGGATTAAGAAAATATATACATTTTGTTTTAACATTTATAAAGTTTAATTACAATTAAATTCAAAATTTCCTTATATTATAATTTCGTAAATTGTATACTAATTGCAATTCTGAATGCCGTATGCCTTAAATTTTTATTACAATTTATTGTAATTTAATGTAAAATACATTCATTGTAATTTTTTTTGTCTATTATACCGAGTGATTTGTAATTAAGAATACTTGATGGTTACAAAACAATTAACATAAAAAAATTGAGCATTGTGATTTTCTCTGACTGCGATCGAAAATTGGAGTTAAATGTCTAATTATTAATAAGGATTATGACTTAGAAGCAGAAATAAAATTTGACTAACCCACTATGCAAATATCCGAAATCCGAAGTTCTTGAAATATCAAAAAGTCAGAAAATCTAATAAAACTATTTATTTGTCGGCAAACAGTTTAAAATTTTCTGATGTAATCTTTATCTGCCTAATTTTTTTTTAAAATTCTATGCTTTTTAGCAATTTCGTTATTCAAATTTTAATATTTCTGTTGGAGATAACAGAGATATAGAGTGGAATATGGAATAAGGGCTGTTTTAGTAGAATCATTGCATTTCTTAAAGGCGCAGTTCGGTGGTGATAAATCTCCTGCAATATATTCTTTTTCCGCCTCATGATATTTAATACTCAGTTTAGATTGCTTTTGGTATATAAATTTCAATTGAACCATACCGCTTGCTATAGCGAAGGTCAACTAAACTGTCCCTTGATTTTGAACAATTCCTAATAAGAAAATATTGAGATCTTCCATGATTGCATACAGAAGTCCGTCTGTTTTTCAAAAGCACACCTTTCTGCAAATGTATCGAAAAATGATGTGGCAAATGTACTGAATTTTTTACTGGAAAAATTTACGAAAATTTGGCAAAACTGATTAAAAAATCTATATATAGAAAAAAGTTTTCCATCGATTTACTCTAGTACTCTCACATTATCACGATTTAATTTTTTTCTTTGTCAGTTCGATAAGTCAATCAATCATCAGTAATTGTTAAGAAAAATTTTAAATTCCCAAAAAAGTTTTTTCCAAATTTTTCTTTTATTTTGTATAAAATTTGTAAATGTTAAATTTTCTTATTAACAATGTAATTTAAATTCTATGGTGGCCAGGGTCGAAATATTTTTCCACCTTCACATATTTCAAATCAATTGAAAAATTTTTCCATTTCTCCATCTGTTTTTTTTTACAAAATCTCCATCTGTAATTTACATTTATAATGTATACATTTGGCGAAATGTACACTCATACTTTGTAAGTTTATAAAAGAAAAACAGGAAAAAAATATATTTTTCCCTCTTATTGGAATTTATTTTTTTAATTTCTTTTTATATTTGGTCCATTCGAAAAAAAACAACAACAAAAGAGAAGGTGCAAAACTTGATGTTCTTTTGAATAATTTACAATCAAAGCTGTAATTTTATAAAACAGAAAAAAATAACGAATGTTAAAAGAATGAAAACGAGGGGGAAGGTAAACTGTGTAAAATTACGAGGCGCAATCAAATCAAATGTAATTAAATGAAATCTTGTAGTTCCTGCGGTAATCGAATTTTTCTTCCTGAGTTTTTAATAAATTCTGTATTTTGCCTCTGAATATTGTCTCTTATGCAACCGGTTTTTGTAATGCGAAATAATTTGGTTTATTTAACGGTAATATTTCGGTAATTCATTGGATTCAGTCCCGTCCCGGTTTTCACACATGATATTAGCTGAATTTTTATTAAAATACTTTGAATTGTAACGTGTTGAAAGTTTTACACTTTACTTGACATCATCTCGGGCAATAAATTTCACTAGTAGTAATGTAAAGTCAAATCTGCAAATCTTTAGAAAATTAGTTTCTCTCGGTGAAAAAAATACGTGCATTTTAGACAAATAAATCTTTTTCAAGAAAACTTTTTGGAAAATTGTAAAATTTTCATGCGTAGCGATTTATAGATTGTAAAGGAGTATAAATTTCTTCGTTCTTCGTTTGGCATTTAAAATTCCGAGCCAAATTTTCGAGCAAAGAATCCCCTACTTTTCACACCACTTCTGATTTATAAGCAATTCTTATTATTAACACTTCTGATTTAATGCTTATTATTGTATTGTCCTCTTAAGAAATCACTGCTAATGTACAACTGCAATTATTTATCAAACATCACTCGTAAAAATAGTTTTACAAAACCGCAAATATTTATAGAATTTCTAGATGAAAAATTTTTTATTTTATTTTATTTTTTTTTTCTCACTTTTCTTTTACACAGTCACCT